AATCGCTATGGATATTATGATGTTATGATAATTAAACAAGCGAATTACTAGCTGATTTACTATGAATTCTTTAGAGTACAATAAAATGCTACTGCACAATTTAACTGTTATTGTTATCTGTTTTAACAATACATTTAAAATGGAATCATGTTATGATAATTAAACAAGTGAATTTTTAGCTGATTTACCATGAACTGTTTAGAGCATAACAATACGCTACTCCACATTTTAACTGTTCTTAAAAATACGTTTAAAACATAATTTAAAAAAATAAAAAGAAAATATATTTTAAAAAAGCGTGTAGAACTGAAAGCGAAACTCAAATATTATTATTTTTTCATTAAATTACTAATCGAATACAAATCGATATCGTTTCGTTGTATTTATGTTAGTTATGTGGCAACATCAAATCTGACAGCTATAGGAAATATGTCATGCGAAATGAAATCACAATTCAACAAGTAAAAAAGGTACTAGTGAATTCACAACTAAATAGTTGCCATTGTGTTATTTTGTTTGTTATTTTTCAAATAAATTCTCAAGAACTCATATGGAGTGAGATTGTCGATCACATTATAGTGTGACAACAGTTAAAAGTAAGTGTTCAACAGTTTTTAATTTATTAATTCTAGTGCTGATATTTGATAGTGATGAATGTATGAAATGATGAAGTTGTTTTATTTTTTAACATATGCACAAGCTATACCTGACAAACAAAATAGCTTATCTGTAACATGGCGATAAGATTAGCTAGCTAACACCAGATAGTTACGAAATGGACAATTTTTATCAAATACCAAGAAATAAGACAGTCGATTTTTAATTGTTTTTGGACTACTGGTAGGCAGTCAGTCCTTAATTATTAAATAATATAGGGCATTAAGTTTTAAGTAACATTTACCTATATTTGAGTTTAAAGTAAACAAATCTATTTTATTTTGTTCACTTTGTCTTATTTTTTTTATTTAATATTATTTCAGTTGCCATCGTCATCGCGTGAGTGTCATGATTGCGAAGGATTGATAAAGCAGCAACACGTTAAACTTTAGAACGGGAACCATCTGAATCATCTAGTCCATCTTTTTTTTTTTTTTAATCTTTATTTTCAAAAAAAGGGGTTTTGTCACACAGTGACTATGTCACCCCCGTGATATACACACAAAAATAATAACAGAAAATAAAGTAATGAACACATAATAACATAGAAAGTAACAGAGCTACATAAAATAAAAATAAATTTAGCAACAAAAATAGATATTATGCAAAATCCTGTGGTTATGTTTAACCTTATGAGTAAGAAAATATTACATCTCGCTAAACTCACATTACATGTAAATAAAGTTTGATTAGCATTTTGGCCTCATGACAAAGTGGAGATGATAGGATAGCATTACATATGCCTACATTGTGATTGTTCAAAAATGTCATATCTTGCCTTTGAACCTCGTTCCGAGCACACTCCATCAAAACATGGTGCACATCTTCTACAGTATTACACTCCGAGCAATTAGGGGAGTCTGAAATTCCTATCAGAAATCGGAACTTATTTGACGGGATGTGCCCAGAGCGGAGTCTTAAGAGCGCAACAATATTTTTCCTGTTAATTTCATTTTTTTCAAACCATGGATAACGAGAAGGTTGACACTGAATGGTTCTGTACCATATTCCCTTACTAAGTGAGCGTTCATCAAAATACTCTTGCCATAATTGTCTACAATTTACTTTAACCTCACGTAACAGTTCGGTGTGTACTGGTAAAGTACTATATGTAATACCGTCACTAATAGCGCGGCTTGCAGCTCGATCAGCCTCCTCGTTACCCATGATGTCCGTATGAGAAGGTATCCATTGGAAGATTACCACCTTATTTAATGCACTAAGCTTACATATAGAATCTAGGATACTATAGGCTATCGGAAGTCCTCGAATACTCGAGGGCAGCCGAGCCAAATGTAACAGGGCGCTCTTAGAATCGGATAATATGACAAATTGATTGTAATTCACGGTTGTAACATACGATAAAGCCTCGGATATCGCGATCAGTTCACAGTGCATTATAGAAACGTCAGCTTCTATTTTAAACCGTACACAGATGTCCATCTGCTGGTCAACAAAGGCCGCACCGCATCCAGTTTTGTCCTTTGATCCGTCTGTGTAAATCTTATAGTGTGAGTTGTAGTTGTTATTTAGGAAGTTGCAACATATATTACGTGAATTATCTATACCGACATGCCTCTTAGAGCGTTCCATTCCGTCTACTATAGTCTTAATATTATGAGATATTTCATATCTACTAATCCAATCGCTGAGAGAGTAAATCAATAGTTTGGAGTCAGAATGCATAGAAAGATTACAATATTTGTTATAAGTTTGAACCAGTAACGGAACTTTCTTTCTCCTCCAGTATAAGCCCTGACACTGACTGTTTAGTTCTTCTAGAACGCGTGTTGTTATATTATTTTTGATTGACCTAGACTTAAACCAAAATTTTGCCGCAAGATATCTTCTACGGATGAACAGTGGCTGTAGGCACAGTTCACTTTCCATGACATGGATAGGGGTGCTTCTTATGAATCCGCCTATCACCCGCATCGCTTGATTCTGTACTTTATCTAGTTTGTATAAATGTGTATTTACACTACTATCATATAAGAAACAACTGTAGTCTAGTCTGCTTCTAATTAATGAAATATAAAGACGCCTTAAATGCATTGGGTGAACGCCCCATTTGGAACCTGCTAACACTTTAAAGATGTTTAGAAACTTAAGTAGCTTTTCCCTCGTTTCGTTTATGTGTCTACGCCATTTTAAATTTCTGTCCAGCCACACGCCTAAATATTTAACACTATCGACTCTTTCAATACGTTCGTTGTTGATGTTTAAAGTAATATTACTACTGTTTGAGTTTCTCAAGTGTCCTCTTGTAAATACGCAAACTTTGGTTTTTCTGTGAGAAATGTTTAAACCGATATCGGTTATCATAGAGTTTAAAGCAACTAGCGCATCTTGAGTAACAGAAACTGCATCCGTTATATTTTTACGGCTAGTATAAAGTACAAAATCATCAGCGTATTGAGATATACATACTTGATTCAGATTTTTGCAGATATTGATAGTTGCTGCGTTAAATAGTAATGGCGATAAGGGGTCACCTTGTGCTATACCGGTTCCTGTATATCTGCTTACACACTCTTCATTGCTTAGTTCGATAAATAACCTTCGTGAGTGCAAATATTGGTAGAGGTAATTACATATTACGGTGCCTACTCCTAAATTATCTAGCGCACCTAAAAGACTTATAACATTGACATTGTTGTATGCGCCGTCGATATCAACAAAACACCCTACAGTAGCATCTCCGTTACCAAAGCCACTCTGTATTCGTGACACTAACCTAGTCAAATTGTCCAGGCAAGATCGCGATCTTCTAAAGCCTACTGTTTCATCTGGTAAACAATTATTTTTTTCAAGGTACCATTCCAATCTGCGCGTAATAATTGTGTGAAAAATCTTGCATGGACAAGACAGAAGGGCTATAGGCCTAATATCTGAATTTGAGTTATTGCTAATTTTCGGTTTCGGTATAGGAATTATTTTTACATATCTCCATTGACTTGGTACAAAGCTTGAAAGCAAAAATCTGTTGTATAAAGATACGAGCACAATTTTAGCAGCGTTCGGAAGGTTCTTGATCATAGAGTATGAAATGTCGTCGGCGCCAGGTGCAGTATCGGACTGTTTAATTGTGTTTGCGAGTTCATGAATCGAAACAGGTAAAGATAGATGTACGTTTTCGCTATTAAACACAGGAGCCGGTGGATCTGCATAATCAGGTGCTAAGCTACACAGTAAGGAATCAGCTGACTCACGGGTAATAGTACTTCTCGCTGTCCTGCACCCCTTCAGCCACTTCATTTTAGCCCACATTTCACTTGAAGTTGACACACTGCCAATGCTGTCACAGAAACCTTGCCATGACCTATTTTTACTACTACGAATAATTTTTTGTGCCAACCTGACCTTGTTTTGTAATGCTTCTAAATTTACTGGTGTAGGGTTTCTCCTAAAAACAGCAAGTGCCCGACGTCGTTCCGCTACAGCTCTTGAAATATCCGGATTCCAATATGGTCTAGGAGTGAACCTTTGTTGTTGAAGAGGATTTTCGCATATTTTTATAAACGGGATACACTTATCAGCTGCCTCGTTAATAATATCGATGAAAGCGTCGTACGCAGACTGGTGATCATCTGGTAATATAAAGCCTTCAAGCTTTCTCTCTATGTGTGTCTTATACTGCAACCAGTCAGCCTTTTTAAAATTGCGTTTTCTTTTATAGATATTGGATGTGCCAATATTAGTTTTCATCTTAATCATTAAATGGTCACTTCCCAAATTTTCATTTAGTACTATCCAGTCGAACTTCAAAGCTATATCCAGAGAAGCTAGAGATAGGTCAGGGGCAGATTTTTGTACTATGCTGTTAACCAGTTTAATTCTAGTATGTGAGCCGTCATTCAGTGAAACAAAATTGTTGTCTAAAATGGAATCCAAAATTTGATCACCTCGTGAGTCCGTTCTAGTTGACCAGTTGGTGTGGTGGCCATTAAGATCTCCCGCAATTATTGTCTTTCGTCTGGCAAGATTGAAGATTTGGTCCCAGTCTCTCAAGGTGGTACGAGCGGATGGTGGGCAGCATAAGGAGTATACATTTTCTATATGTTTACAATTTAAAATTCTAATATGGAGGATCTCAATTTGTGAATTTAGCAGTTCAACATTATGTTTTTGTGCCTTAATTGACCTGTGAGTCAATATAGCTACGCCTCCAAATCCGTCAGCACGATCCGTTCTAAAGACGTTATAGTGGCTAATTTGAAAGTGACTACCCGGGTCTAACCAAGTTTCGCTTATAATAGCAATGTGTATTTTTTCTTGAGTTAATAGAACTTCTAACTCTGTACATTTAGGTTGAATGCTTTGCGCATTCCATTGTAGCACATTTACGTAGGTTTGTGAGTTGTTGTTATCCATAATTGTTTTACGAAATTACAACAAGGCTGATCAGCAATAAACTGCAACACTAATGATATTAACGCCTCCAATATTATATTTCCACAGCCTTTTATCTTGTCTTCCCACGAGCTACTTTCCTCTTCCAATATCTTCTCTTTTAATTTTTTAAAAAATAATTTCCAAGACAATTGTTCTTTATTTTTCGATCGATTCTCATCACTTAGCTTGTCATCCATTCTGCTTTCTTCTTCACTAACTTCGGTAAAAAATTCAGGCATATTTTTTTCCTGTTCTTTGAGGGCCCTTCTTCTATTCCGTCGTTTCTCTGACTTAGAGCTTTTTCTCGTTTCTTCCGGGGGTGTTTTCGTAACACTAGCGTAGGTATACACATTACTAGGCCCGGGAATCTGCTTATCTTGTTGTGATGATTCATTTTCAGATGTAGGTTGTGTAAGTAGAGGTGGGTCATTCTTCGTAATCGGTGGTCGAGGTGACGGCGGGACATACAGCATAAGGGCTTTTTTGTAGGAACAATTAAATTCCGCCATGAGTTCTCTAATTCGTTTCTCTTTCAAGAAAACAGGGCAAATTTTAGCCATTGCCATGTGTTTTCCCATACAGTTATTACATTTGAAAGTTGTCGTTTCACAGTTAGGATGACTTTTTGTACATTTAGGACAAATTACTTTTAGAGAAGGGCACATTCTAATCGAGTGACCAAATCGCCAGCAACGGGAGCATTGTGTCACTGGGTATGTGTAAGGACTCACTTTTACCCTAGTGTCATAGATGTAAACAAACGACGGTAATGACGATCCCTTAAAACATATTCTTACAGACTCGCTATGTTCCCAATGACCGTCATAAGTGTTCTTTCGCTTTAGTCTTTTTACTGCTAAAATTAAAGTTTCACTTTTAAGTCCCAGTAATATCTCTTCTTCGCTCAATTCTAGATCAATATCTTTTATGACCCCATATGATTGACTAATTTCTAAAGTTTTTTGGCATTTAAAACCATTCTCGTTAAATCTCTTGCACTGTACAAAAGATTCAGCACTTTCTTCGCTATTAAAATGAATCAATACCTTAAATGCATTTATGTACTTAATTTTCGTGACGTTTTTAATACTTTCTGCTTTTAACATTTTTGCCAATCCAAATTGTTTCGGAAGTTTATCTGTGCATGTCAAACATACTTCAATTTTATCCTCCGTAATTCTCGTAAGTACATTATCCTCTGTACATTCATTATATCTATTTGCCTTTCGCTTTTTTGAGGGTCTCCCTAAGAACATGTCATTCATATCTTCCGTACTACCCATCTGTGAAATATCCTCCATGATCACTGTAATCTCCCTTTCATTGCTTTCGTTAAATACACTACTTTCCACATCAATCTCACTTTGCACATAATTCAACATAGTATTACTACTCATAATTAAATGACCTTACTGTTAACATGGTCCACAAAAGCGCACTGACGTGCGGAGCGCGTTGCTAGAACTAGGGACAGTACGTAATCGAACGGTAGATCAACGCGTCAAGCTACAGCGAGCGCCCACGCGCAACGTAGTCCATCCTTGTAGCAATCTAAAGTAAGTAATGTATTGAACCTAGAACAACAAAGCTTAGATCATACATCATACAATATACTGCTGCCTAATTTTGTAAGAGCACCACTCACACAAAATCAATGTTTTTTTCCTGGTTGTAACAATTCCAATCAACTCACTGTTCCATCAGCATTGCGGGTATGTATTTTTGTGAATACAATTACTATGTACCTCCAGAATGTAGAATCAGTAACTACCATTTAAATAGTAACTCTTGGTATTTACTTTTAGAATTAATATATAACCATATTAAAACATTTAGTGTAGCACAAATTATAGATTTTTCTACATTATTGTAAGATAATATTTACCATCATATAGACTGAAAATATTTACAATATGCCCGAATATACTGTACATTATTATCTACGCTTATCAAAGGCACAATGCCAATAAATTCTGTCTGAAGTGCCCAAAATGTCAAGTAAACATAGTGGATGCTTTGCACTTGCTGTATATTTGATGAAAGTAAGAACAGGAGATAGTGATGAATGCATATAGGCATTATTGCAAGTACCAAGAAACAAATTAGAGCGGCTCATGAATATGGCCCAAGAAATATTAAATCAGGATGTTGTTCCTATGAATTTTATCCATCGTTACCACTCTCTGTGCCAAATTCTATTCAGTAATTATGATATTATATCTGAGGCAAATAATTTCTTAGCTTTCCTAGATGTTTTTGTTATCCAAAATCCTAACAACATCATAGGTCACACTGTGTATAGAAAAAAGACCCATACAAACTGATATTTAAGCGGTGAATCTCACCATAATCCTTCACAGTTAGTTACCATGAGCAAATCTTTGTTACAGAGAGCATATGGGATCTGTGAGAACAAGCACCTGGCCGCGGAGCTTCAGCACGTCAAGCAGGTTCTGCACAAAATCAAGCTTCGGGTCCCACGTCTTCGTCACAGTGACCGAGTGAAGCCGACCGCAGTTGAGCGTGTGCCTGCTGTACTACCGTATGTCAAGGGTGTCACCCCAACCAGATAGACATACATCAGATTTGATAGACCACAAATCCTCGTTAAAGAACATTAATTCCTACCGAGGATGATATGTGAGGCTACTGAAATTAAAAAACATCCTAATTTCAGTAGAGAAGGCGGTTGGGTACTACCACCTGCTTGGGACACTATAATTAATAAAATTAAAACAAACCCCAAGCATACCACTGCAAGACTTAAAGATAGAGTAAGTTCAATCTGCGTAGATTGGACTATAAAAATAATAATAAAAAGCTGAAGGTACTCCATGTCCCAATACTGACATTGGGATGGCAGTCACCTCAGTACCCCGTGACCATGGGTGCTATAAAGCACCTGAAACGTCAGGAATTAATAATAATAGTATAATAATAATATAGCCATTTATTTCCGAACTTTGGGGTTACATAATATTTGTGTTTGAGTTCCTATTGTAATACTAGTTAAAGTAAGTCCCTCTGTTCGGTGTGCCTTTTGACATAGGCCTCCAAAAGAAAAATCACGCGTCGGGTATTAAAAGTTAAAGAAATTAAAAGCAATAAAATTGGTAAAAGTAGTCGTTAAAAAACTGTATTTGTGAAAATAAAAAAGCTTTATATCATAAAAATCCCGACTTTTTTTAAACCAATTCCTTAACCATTTCATTATTTTAATTGCATATTATCATTTCCATATGCTTTTATATGTGGGCACCCATGGCCAAAGTGTCTATGAACAGTGGGCATCCCCCTTTCTTCCAGCAGGCCTATTGAAGAATAGTTGAAGGAAATAGAGGTAGTCAAAGTGTGCACTTTATTAAAATATACAATACAATACAAATATACAAACCTCCATATATATATATATATATATATATATAAGTATATTATATTTTTAATGTTACATATATCTACACATCACGAATTAATCATTATGGTGTGAATGATAATGCTCTTTAACAAGTCTTTTATACATAGACACCGACTTAGCGTCACGAATCCTAAAGGGAAGTGAATTCCACAATCATACTGCATTAACAGTAAAAGAATGAGAATAGAGCATTGTATTAAAAGACGGAAATCTTAACAGTGTTCTAGTATTTGATCTACATGGAAAAATCTGGAGGATGAACAAAAGTAAATTTTTAGATATAGCGCAGTATCAGGGTTATGTAGAATATTGAAAAGAAGACAGCGGATTCGAGTGTTCCGGCGAAGGCAGATGGGGAGCCATTTAAGCTGCTTGCGATAAACAGAGACGTGATCGAACTTTTGTAAGCCAAAAATGTATCGAATACATACATTTTGCAAGCGCTCGAGTTTATTAATTTGCTCCTCGGTAGCATTCAAATGGCAGACATCAGCATAATCTAAAATTGGCAATATAAGAGTCTGGACTATAGATAACTTAGTAGACAAAGGTAGAAAACTTTGAAGGCGTTTTAAAGAATGAAAGGCGTGAAATATTTTCCTGCTTACATCTGTAACATGTGCGCCCCAAGTTAAATTGCAGTCGAAAATAACACCTAGGTTTTTGGCAGTATCAGAGTAGGGAATAGTGGCACCATCGATTCGTAGAGTTTGGAGAGAGGAGAAATCAAGCGTGCCACGCGCATTTATTTTACTTATTATCTAGGCTTGGGATTTAGTTGGGTTTAATGTGAGACCAAATGATGTCGACCATTTGCTAATCTTATTTAAGTCGTCATTCATAGCTTCAATCGCCAAGTTGGCTTCGAATGCCACAAAATTACGATATAACTGCAAATCATCAGCATAAAGGTGGTAGTTAGCTGATATGACCTTGGTGATACAACTAATAAAAATGGCGAAAAGCAGAGGAGAGAGGACTCGACCCTGAGGTACACCCGCAGTTACATTATACTATTGGGAGTATATTTCACCTGAACGAACACATTATGACCGATCACGAAGATAGGAGTCAAACCATTAAATAACAGATTTAGACACATTTATCGTCTTAAGGATACTTATAAGGATATCAAAATCAACAGAATTGAATGCACTGCTGAAATCTAGTAAAACCAGAAATGTTAAGTATCCATGGTCCATATTCCAACGGATATCGTCAGTAACTTTAAGAAAAGCAGTTGTACTACTTAATAATAATAATAATAACTCCTCGATACCGCCCGCAGCGCCCGCCGGTTTCTTTCCCTTTCCCCCTAACCCTCGGCCGTTTGGTCTCCCCTGCCGAGGGCTTCCATCTGGTTGGGCTTTTATTTATTTATGTATTTTTTATTTATTTTATTTTATTGATATTTATGTATATTTATCTTTTCATTTTCGTTTATAATTATATATTTATACATCCCAACCAGATGAGAAAACTATATAGATACCCCACATAATAATAATAATAATTTATTTTCAGACTTTGTCCATAAAGATGTTAGTAGAACAATAACTACTTAGAACTAATGTTAGTATTTAACTTTTTTTTTAAACTTAACAAGATTAAAACTACTTTTACGGATTTTATCGCGTTTATTTTTACTTTTTATTATTAATTCCCGACGTTTCGGGCGCTTTCCAGCACCCATGGTCACGGGGGACTGAGATGACTGACGTCCCGATGTCATTGTTAAACCCGGAGTACCTTCAGCTTTTTTAATTATTGTTTATGGTCCGATCTATGCAAAATGAACTGACTATGTCCTGAGGTCTTGCAGTGGTATGCTTGGGTTTAGTTTTAATTTTATTGATTATAGGATCCCAAGCAGGTAGTAGTACCCAGCCTCCTTCTCTATTGAAATTAGGATGTTTTTAATTTCAATAGCCTCACGTATCATCCTTGGTAGGAATCGGTGTTCTTTCGCGAGGATTTGTGGTCTATCAAATCTGATGTAATGGTTGGGGCCGTCTAGGATATGATCACAAACTGCAGACTTCCCGGAACGTTGATGCTTCACATCAGCTATATGTTCTTTTACGCGGGTCCTAATTGATCTTTTGGTTTGTCCTATATAAGAGAGACCACATTCACAATCAAGCTTGTACACTCCTGCATCTTGTAGAGGAATATGACACTTGACGGATGGTAGGAACTGACTAATCTTCTTCGGCGGCTTGTAGAATGTTCTAATAGAAGCTCGCTTCAAGATATAGCCAATCTTGTCTGTGACACCTCTGACATATGGTAGTACAGCAGGCACACGCTCGACTGTGGCCGGCTTCACTCGGTCACTGTGACGTAGGCGCGGGACCCGAAGCTTGTTGTCGTGCAGAACTTGCTTGACGTGCTGAAGCTCGGCGGCCAGGTGTTTGCTGTCACAGATCCCTCGTGCTCTCTGTAACAAAGATTTGCCCACGGTAGCTAACTGTGAAGGATGGTGGTGAGATTCACCGTTTAAATATCGGTTTGTATGGGTCTTTTTCCTATACACAGTGTGACCAATGGTGTTATTAGGATTTCGGATGACTAACACATCTAGGAAAGGTAAGGAATTATTTGCCTCTAACTCCATAGTAAATTGAATTTTAGTGTTTATGGAATTAAGATGTTCTAAAAATGCAGTTACTTTGTCTGATGGTAAAATTGTGAAAGTATCGTCTACGTACCGCTTGTAGATCCTTGGTGTAACAGGTGCAGTAAGGAGGGCTTTCTCCTCAAAGTCTTCCATGAATATATCGGCGACAATGGGAGATACAGGTGAGCCCATCGCCACACCATCTACTTGCTTGTAAAACTCTTCCTTCCACAATAGATAGCCAGATGTAAGGCAATGTCTTATTAATACTGCATATTCTGCTGGCATGTTATTTTCCTCTAGTTTCCTAGTTATAATTGAGATGCAGTCTTCAACAGGTAGGCATGTAAATAGAGACTGAACATCAAAACTGACCATGGTTTCATTGTCAGTAAGATGTAGGTCTTTTATCTCACTGACAAAATGGTATGAATCCTTAGTGTGTGCTCTTGTGTGTCCTCTGAGTGGTGATAATATTTTAGCTAAGTATTGAGCCAATCTGTAAGTTGGCGAATCAATCTGACTCACTATTGGACGTAATGGAGCATTCGGTTTGTGTATCTTTGGTAACCCATACAACTTCGGTGGTTTGGCACAGGAAGGTATTATCGAATTAACGTCCAGATTCAATTTTTCGGAGTATTTCTTAATTAGATCGCTAGTTGTTTTAAGCGTATTAGTTGTAGGGTCTGTTTTGACCTTTCGATAAGTAGTTTCATCCGACAAAAGTTGTTGTATTTTAAAATGCAATGTTCGCGTAAATATAAGAAATCATTAAACTTAACAAATTAAATATCGCTCCTACGTTACAAATATCTTATTTATTCAATTTTATATGTAGGCTCAACCAGCGCTTCATAATGGCAGAATCCCACCTATCAGCAAGTGTATTCAGGATGCTGTTGGTAGAGGTACGTAGTCGATTCATTAATGAAGCGGACCTTTTACGTATTATGGCATGAAAGCAATCCGTGTGCCTCGACGAACATGGCAGAGGCACTACAATAACGCGGCAATCCTAACAGCACCCTGAACGCATTATTGTATTGTACACGCAGGACATTGTATGTCAGCTGCGTGTATCTGACCCACAAGTTGCATGTGTAAAATCACTGACAATAAGCTTTAAAAAGCGTAACTTTAACTTCTTTAGTACATCGTGCAAACCTGCGGGCCAGCATATCACAGCGAACAGCCAACGCCCTGCGTTCCCTTTCTACATCCAAGTCATCCTCTAAGTCCTCTGTTACCCAGTGGCCTAAGTACTTAAATTTGACGACTCTGTTCAAAGGACTATCACAGAGCTTAACAGTAGGCATGGTGAGCTGCCTTTTAGTGCCTGAATTAAAAACCATGAGCTCGCTCTTCGTTACATTATACTTGAGCCCATGGATCTTTGCGTAGGATTCACAGATCCCTAGCAGCTTTCTGAGTGCACCTATCGTGGGGCTCAGCAGCACCATGTCATCTGCATAGCTTATGTTATTTATGCAAACTCCGTCTATAGAACAACCGACCTTAGTGCTGCTGAGCTCCACAATCAACTGGTTTATGTATAAGTTGAAAAGCGTAGGCGAACTCAACCCTCCTTGTCTCACCCCGCATTCCAGCCCATACCCCTCAGAAAAGCTGCTACCCCATCGAACATAGTTTAGTAATTATTTAAATCTGATATATCTCCTGTTCTGTTCTTAATGATAGGCACCACAATTGTCTTCATGAGATCAGTCGGAAGATATTGATGAGCTATACATAAACTTAGAAACATAGCCAACACTCTTGGCAGATGGGCACCAGCATGTACCAGATGTTCAATGCTAAGCCCATCATGACCTGGTGATTTACCTCTAGTCATAGAATTTATTACTTCAAAAATTTCTTTGGCAGAGATCCTTACACACGATCCACCTGCAAAACGTTCACCATCGATTAATCTCGATGACGGACCCCGCGGTGACTCTACTTTAAAATGCTCTTTAAATAGATTGGCTATGTCTCCAGGCTGGTTGTGACCCTGAATATTAGCCGGAAGACTCGACTTGGGATTCAGTTTATTCGTAAGTTTCCAGAATTCTTTAATTTTTTTTGCGAATGCTTTTAAATTTCTTTTGCGAATGACTTGATGCGATCTTATCCATTCTTAATTGCTCTGCGTGATTTTGACAACATTTTAACTTTGACTTGAAATTCCGTCTTGTTTCACACATTTTATTATAATAATAACCCGAAGATGGCTTACCGTATAAGACCCACGTTTGAAAGACAAGTCGAGCCTCCCCGTGGGCGTCTCTAACGTATTTATTCCACCCCACAACATATTTCTTATTCCTTTTGTTATTACAACTGGCCTGAGCTGATCTCTAAGAATAGTAACAATATTACTGTACATATTATCTAAAATTAATTTGTGATTATCATTAATATATATTATTATTACAACAATTCATAAACTTCTGTGGAAAATTTACGTCTTTTAATTTAGAGTGACACAATTTTTTATAAGTTTCTATTTGGTTATTATTTCTGACACCCCAAATTATTCTATTATTACAGAAATAGCTTACCACATTTTTTTTAACTTAATAAGTTAATATTGCACTCGATCAGCAATGGAACATGATCCGACCAGTAGGTATCATACAGTACAGTGACATCTATGACTGAGCGCCTTGCGGCCTCAGTTACAACGCAATGATCCAACCAGCGCCGACAACCGTGCGCATCACTAGTATAAGTATAGCTGCCCGCTTGGGAGGACCTCCAAATCAACACAAATCAACTGGTAATCCGTCCAAAAATGTATCATTTCGTTACAAAATAATGTACCGGGATGCAAATTAAAGTCACCAAACGCAAATACAGAGTCGACATTTTCATTTTCAATAATAGCACTTATCTCGTTCATGCACGATGTAAATTCTATTAAATAAAAATGCTGTGAGACGCACACTACTACATAAGACCATACTGACACAATCAAACGCATTTTTCCTCCACAAGAGGGCCACACCACCATAGGGTCTGCCTGTGAGTATACCGGACGACGTATCAACCGCTGACTTACCGGTATAGCTGATGTCTTGATGTATCTCGCCCAGAAACGTTATGTCATCAGGTAGAAGCCATGTCTCCTGTAGCGCTAGCACGTCAGACTTTTCACAGGTGTCTTACGCATTCCAAAGAGCGTTTAACAGATTTACAGTTGAAAGTTGTAAATTTTGCCGTATACATGAACTTAAAATTTTTTTACACATTGTCTGAGGTCTCCTGATGTCTATACTTAAAATGCACAAATCTTCTGAATGAGATGCCGTCCGGCCAAAGACTGTCATTTAAAAAGACAGCAAGTTTTTTGTTTGGACACGTATAATTTGAACGCATTATATCCTTTATCTTTTTTCATAGTCACTTTTTCTAGTGTCACTAACTCGTTAGTTTTATTCCTAATATAATCGACGATATCTTTTTCTAGCGTCTCTCTATGTACGTTAGATATAAATAGCGGAATTTTCAAGTCCGCTGATTTAAATTTCTCCTCAGGTTTTATTTCTGATTTTCCTGTCTTACCTATAAAACGGTTACGCAATCTGCGCATTTGAACTTTTATCCAGGCCTCTGGCGATTCTTCATTTTTCCAAGCTTCACCTTTTTTCAATATTTCGGCCATAGTTAGCGAAGTCTGAAAATTAACATCACATGATGTATCTTTTATTGCGTTATTATTGTTAGTAGACTTATTCACTACAATTGTTTTATCATCATTCATCTTGCTTTTACTCGGTGAGTTGTGCATTGGAATAGGAGTTACTTTAGTGCCTCCTGCGCTGAATGATTGCCGCCCATCCGCACCGTTATAAGCAGTCACGCCTACAGATGTAAAGTGGTCAGCCTTATGCATATCTGACACAGGTGCGAGTGCATCGACACTATCACGAGCACGACTAGCTACTTGTGCGATAGCTGTCTTTTCCGTCTCTGTCTGTACGTCAGTTGTTTGTAATGGTACATCAGCTGTTGATAACTCGTGTGACAAGCCCATTGGCCCACTGTCGCCGAACGTAGTACCCACATCTAACAAGAAGGCACTGCACCTTCTACCTACCCTATGATAATGAGCTAGTGATGTGGATGTTTTTAAGAAAGATATATCTTTCTTTAGCTCTTCCAGGTGCGTCTTGGTTACATAATTATCCTTGATGATCTTAACCTCCTGTTGCAACAAAACTATATCCTTCAGCAGTCGAGTTACATCTACATGATCGAAAGTAACCGGCGGAAGTTTTTGTAGGTCACGAGCAACAAAAATAGGCGCACTATCAGGGTCTGTTTCTTTGAAAAGACTAATGATGTCTTTTAACTCCCTTTGGGATTTCCCATCTGTACGTCGAGTTAATTTTCCATCTCTGCGTCCTATATTTTTCTTTTTACCTGAGGGCAATGACTCGAATAGCAAACTTTTTGCATTAGTGATATCTTCAGCTGTAAAGGCACTACTACAAATTCGGACAATGCTCTCCTCGTCCATCACATCTGTCTTGTTTTGTTTAAAGGCAAGCACTTCGCTTATCACAATGTTACAATTTGTACATTTTACCACTTTGGACGCCATTGTCTTATCGTACAATGACCTTTCGCTTATGCTCAAAGCGAACACATGTACGCGCTTTGCCGTTCCGCGTGCAACTGAACAACTATGTCCGGGTCGGAAACCAGATTAAAATAAATAAATAAATGTACAGTGACAATCATTTTGATATAAGTGAAATTCGAATAAGACTGTCTGACCCTATCTAATAAAAGTACAATTTACAATTTGTGATTAAAGTGTTCAATAACATTAAAAAATACGCAATTGTCACGGTAGAAAATTTACAAAACTGTAAAATTATAATAGTATTGTGACATGTGAGTTGGCGGTTATTAATTAATACTAAAGATCGAAAATGTCAGGCGTTTTTCACACCTCGAACTCAAAGCGAGAGGTTGTGTCGTCTAGATGGACATAAGATATTATTTCTGTTGAGAAATGCTGAAAATTGCTTGTGGACAATGTGTTCAAAAACTTTAGAAAGAAATAGCAAGATTGAAATAGGACGAAAGTGAGAAGGAGATGAAGGATTGGATATCTTAAGGATAAGTATAATGTGTGCTAATTTCTATGACGATGGAAAACAACAGGAAGATAAAGAGGAATTAAAAATGTGTGTAAGAACAGGAAGAAGAAAAGAGAGGATAGGCATTGTCAATTGGAGCATATGCCGTGATTTCCAGAGGCCGTTGATGATATAGCTAAAATTGATCGGTTGATATCGTCTTCAGTTACTACAGCAAAACCAAATGTGTCACACTGCAGAACTGGGTGCTTATCCAATTCTAAAATTGACCCAGCTTTATCATATATATATATATATATATATATATATATATAATATATATATTATATAATACTTCAACTATGAGATCAGTATATATCCACTTCAGCTTGCTGATCTGCTCTTTGACCTTAAGCTTCCTAATTCGGCCAGCCGTGAAGGGACACGTCTCATATCCAAATGACAATAACTGATCCAGATCATCACTAATAACACGCACTGTTTGTGCACTTTTTGTTTTCAAATTTTTTCCTTAAACATTTAAAAAAGGCCACCTTGTCATGTTTTTCAAAAAAAAAAAATGTATCTTACCCTCCCGAACCGTGCCCAGTTACTAGTTACTTAAACTAAAAATTTCCTTTGTAAAAGAAATTAAAGAATGCTCCGTTAGTACACAATAGCTGATCCTATGTCAGGAATCACGTTTAGAATTCTAAGCGTACAATCCACAAAGGCAAGTTGTAACCAGCCAAAGGCTTAACAATTGTTCTTATTTATACAATTTAACGAAATCAAAGAACTTAAAGTTGTAATGCAGAGGACAAAGTTGTTATATATTTTGTGTTAGTTGTATAAAATTCTACTAAAGTTAGAAAATTTGTAATTGATCACAGACAAAATCATTCACGAGTCATCTTTACCATGTAGTAGCGGTGTAAAAATATCCACTAGCCCATGTCATCCCGTGGGTGTCTTTAGAGACGAAAAAAGGAAACAAATCAGGAGGAAATTGGCAGCAGCATCTTTCTAATTATAACTTAAAATAAAAACTGCGCTAGTTAAGTCGCTTGCCAAATGTGGCAACTACGGCAAATATCCCCCCCCCTATACGGAAATTTATGGGGGACGTCTATGTGCAACATAGAAGCGTCAAGATCTTTCTAGAACTCTCTCACTAGCGCCATCTAGTATTGAATAGAAGAAATAAGCTTTCTAGAAAACTCCAAACTCGAATTTTCTACGTCTAGTCGGTCAAGACTGGTATCTGCTGGAATAATCAAGATGTTTCGGTGGAAAAAGCCTATATAAAGCCGTTGACTGCCGCGACCGGGACAGTATTGAATTGACGATACGAGCGAAGCTTTCAAAGCGAAATAAAGTGAACTAAAGTGTTAAGTGTGATTAATTATTAGTGTGATTTAAGTTTTAATTGGTGTTCATTAATTAAAATGTCAATTTTGGTAATTCTTTCAACCTAACCTAACGCGTGCTACCATAGTAACTCCGTCGGATCCAGGAAAAACCTATTCGACTACCCCCAATGGCCAATGAAGAAGCGGCGTATGTTCCTTGGGAAGAAAAACACAGATATATATACAGATCCATAAATTTTTTATCTTAATTTTGGTAAAAAGACATAATAATCCAGATATTCTGACCTGTGTTCGTCCATCATGCCATCGTCCATCTTGTAGAATTACGGTGGCGCCACCTAGCTGAATTTAATTTTGCAACATATTCGATTTTCCCACGAGAATATATGTTTTTCCGCTGAAAAAAGTACACTCTACAGCCACCGAACTATCCCCATACAAAAAATCATGCCATACCGACGTTCTGTTGCGACGTGAAAGCAGGACAAACTTGTGCAACATATTCGATTTTCCCAAGGGAATGAGATGTTTTTCCGCGGAAAAAGTAACCTATGTCACTCTACAGCCACCGAACTATCCCCATACAAAAAATCATGCCATGCCGACGCTCTGTTGCGACGTGAAATAAGGATAAACAAACAAACGAACAAACAAACACACTTTCGCATTTATAATATTAGTATGGAAGTATTTATTTCTGCGTGCAACTCAAATCCTCAATCCCAGTAAAAATCCCATGTAGTCGCATACGCCTGGCAAATCCCGAGCGGTCGCATGAGACCGCCTCCACCCGCAGCACTTAAAACCAATAAAACTTATATTTAGAAACTAAAACGTTTGGCATTATTTTCTATATAAAAGTCAGGTTTTACTTCATTACAAAAAGTCTATTGTATTTTGATAACAAAATCGTATATATATATATATATATATATATATATATATATATATATATATATATATATATGTACATATATATATTACTCGAAATTATTTATGTACAAAGATAAATTATATTCACACAAAAAATTTTAATACAATTTTATATGAAAACACTATACTATAAAATACTAATGAAACACTAGAAAAATCCAAAAATCAACACAATAACATTCAGGCGAAAATGGCTTACGAAATGAACGAAGATTATAAATATATCCCATAGGATTTAGCGCTCGCTGTAAACACAGTACGCGAGGAAGGTTTCCTCACGATGTTTTACTTCATCGCCATGCTGACTTCGAAAGATGTTGCTAATTCATCCGAACATTGGGAATCAACAAACTAACGTATACATAGTTTAAATTGATTACGCTAGATGTCGTTACTAGGTTTTTAAAACGCGGTACGAAATGTTTCCTGACATGTACTTAACTCTCGCCGTTGAGCCGCGCGTCAACTTATAGTGCATACGGTACCTATACGCTTAAATTGTTTCTATTTCGAAGCTTATTCGACTACCTGCTTTCGATTTCGGTTGTAAGTTATTTGCTTTGTGATTTGGTTAAGGTTGAATGAATTTATAAATATTATTAGTTATAATTTTAATAGTTAGATTAGATTTAATATTAGAATATTAATAGTATAGATAGTGTATACGGTACCTATACACTTACTTATTTTTTCGTTGGTTATATTTATATTGACTACTGCTTTCGATTTCGGTTTTTTGCGATTTGTTTCGTGATTGGGTTTAAGTTGACTTGATTTTTTTTGGCTATCGTTTTCGTATTCGTGTTGTGTTTTCTTATATTGGTTTTGTTGTTTTGATTTAAAAAAAATATTTCATTTTTTTTAAATCAAAACTATTTTCCTTTCAGATATTTTGAATTTGCTTTTAAAAAATATTTAAAATGAAATTTAATTCCTTTTAGGTATTTTAACGTTTTTTTATAAATAGGTTTTTGTTACTTCATAATGCATCGCAAACGTAAGTCCAGCCTTTCAAGAGTAAGAATCTTTAGAAGATGCTGAACTGAGAAAGCAAGAACAAGCAGAGCGTTGCTGCTTTTAGAGCATATGAGTCACCTTATCAACGTCAGCAAAGGCGTCTTGAACAGAAAGAGCGTCAGGCTGCTTTAAGAGCTTCCGAAACACCTTCTAAAAGTCATCAAAGGCGTCTTAAACAGGCAGAGCGTCAAGCTACTTTAAGAGCTTCTGAAACACCTTCTCAAAGTCAGTGAAAGCGTCTTCAACAGGCAGAGCGTCAAGCTATTTTAAGAGCTACTGAAACACCTGCTCAAAGTCAAAGTTCAAAGTTAAAATAAAGCTCAAAGTTAAGGTTGAATGAATTTGTATTGGCTTTTATTTTCGGATTTGTGTATTTTCTCGGATCGGTTTTGTTGATTTGGTTGGTATTCCTTTATAGATATTTAGACTCTGGCTTTGATTTTGGATTTTGTTTATTTAGAATCGTGAATTGGTTTTCGTTGTTTTAGGTTGTTTAACAATATTTAAAAGGAATATTAATAGTATAGATGGTGTATACGGTACCTATACACTTACCTCTTTTCGTTGGTTATATTTATGTTGACTACTGCTTTCGATTTCGGTTTTCTGCGATTTGTTTTGTAATTGGGTTTAAGTTGATTCGATTTTTTTGGCTATCGTTTTCGGATTCTTGTTGTGTCTTGAATTGGTTTTGTTGTTTTGATTTTAAAAAATATTTAAAAGGAATATTTATTCCTTTTAGATATTTTTTGCATTTAAAAAATATTTAAAAGGAAATTTAAATTCATTTTAGGTATTTTAACGTTTTTTTATAAATAGATTTATTGTTACTTCATAATGCCTCGCAAACGTAAGTCCAGCCTTACAAGAGTATCTTTTTCAAAGACAACCGAAAAGATGAACAATGAGAAGGTAAGAACAAGCAGAGCGTCAGGCTGCTTTTAGAGCATCTGAAACACCTTCTCAAAGTCAGCGAAGGCGTCTTGAACAGGCAGAGCGTCAAGCTACTTAAAGAGCTACTGAAACACCTGCTTAAAGTCAGCAAAGACTATTCGAACAAGCGGAACGTCAGGCCGCCTTAAGAGTCGAGGAAACACCTGATGAAACTCAACACAGACTCATTGAGCAAGCTGAACGTCAATCTATTATAAGGGCATCTGAAACACCAGAACAGACATAGGCGCGAAGAGATGCAAATGCACAGCTCCAAGCTGAACGTCGACAAAATTTTCAAAGAAACAATTGGTCGGTTTTTAATGACGCAGCATTCAATTATGATCCGTTGATTGATTATAAAAATCACAGGTTAGTTGTTATCGGACTGATGGACAAG